TGGGGTTGCGGGGCCGTCCCTGTTGTGGGGGGTCGGGGCAGGGTGGTGCAGGGCGGTGCTGGGCAGGGCGGGGCTGGGCGGGGCGGTGCTGGGCAGGGTTGGGCGGGGCAGGGCGGTGCTGGGCAGGGCGGTGCGGGGCAGGGCGGTGCTGGGCAGGGCGGTGCTGGGCAGGGCGGTGCTGGGCAGGGGCAGGGCGGAGCGGGCAGGGGCAGGGCAGGGTGGTGCAGGGCAGCGCAAGGCAGGGGCGGTGCTGGGCGGTGGTCAGAGTGCAGCGGTGCGGCGCGGGCGCCTTGAGCTACTACGGGCGGCGTGGGCGGTGGGCGGGCGGCCCGTGCGCCATCGGGCGTGCAGGGCGAGCGTCGCGAGGGCGGGCGTCGCGCGTGAGGGCGTGGCTGGCTCGACGACACGCCCGGCACGTCCGGCGGTCAATCTGGACGGCGGGAGCGGGCGGGCGGTGAGCGAGGCAGGCGCGGGTGGGCGCGGAATGGCTCTGGGAGGCGCGGGAGTGGGCGGGGCGGCGATCTCAAAAAAATGTCGTCGATCGCAGATCCAAGATCGAAGATGTGCACAACCATCGCCGATCCGAGATGCGAGATGAGGAAAACACGCATCTCGTCTCCGAGAGCAACTCAAATCGGCTCTACACACACACACACGTATACACACACTAGCTGAGGGGCTCGCTAAACGCTCGCCGAGCCCCATGCTGTGCAACACCACCTCCTCACTAATCGTCAGGGGCGCGTGAGAGCGCAGTGCACTGCGGTGAGGCTGCGCAGCGGGGGCTCGCCCCCTGCACCGCGCTCAGCGGCACAGGGGAGGGCGGTCGGTGGCGGCGGCGGCGAGGCGCGAGGCGGTGGCGGCGGTGGTGCGGGCGGCGGGATGACAGGGGAGGCGGCGGGATTGACAGGGGAGGCGGCGGCCACGAGCGGAGCGGCGCAAGAAGGGGGGGGGGCGGCGGCGAGGCGCCGGTGAGCGAGGCGCCCGCGCCATCAGAGGGACGCGCCGCTGCGAGATGGAGGGCGGCGGTGACGGAGGCGAGGCGCGAGGCGGCGGCGGCGGCGGCGGCGGCGGCGGCGGCGAACGGCGGCACCGAGTCTCGGTGAGCGGCGGCGGGAGGAGGAGCAGCGGCGGCGCTCGCTCGCTGTTGGCGGGAGCGCTTTTGAGCCTGGGAGCCCATGCCACTGCGACCGGCGTGCCCGGGAACGGAGATCGCGCGCGCGCCGCCACTCACGACGCGCGCGCGATCTTCGCGGAGTCGGGTCCCCAGAGGGAAGCGGTCTTCTCGGCCGACGTCCAGCGGCGCGCAAGGAAGCAGGCGCAGCGGAGGCGGCCTAGCACCGGCTCGGCGCCGGGCGGTTGCGCTGCCCGCGAGCCGCGTCCTGAGCCTCGGCAGCGCGCTTCGCGGCGCGGCGTATCTACCGATCGG